ACCACCCCACAGCCAACATCACCGTGTTCAGACCCTCGACCTTCTTCATCCTGGTGCAGACGGGCCTGGGGCTGCAGCTGGAGGTGCAGCTGGTACCCATCATGCAGGTGTTTCTCAGGCTGGACCCCACCCACCGCGGCCAGATGTGCGGTGAGGTTCCGCGGGCTCGGAGGGCCGAGGGCCGTGGGGGCAGGGGAGGGGCAGCGTGTGGCAGGAGGTGGGGGCCGTTCTCCCAGGGCACCAGGTGTCTGACCCCCGCCGGGGAGGCGGCCACGTGGCCCTCACTCAGGGGGCTTTGCACAGGCGCTGACCCCCAGCAGAGCTTATCTGCAGATGGTTCTGGAACCAAAATGCGGGCTGGAGGGCCTGCTGACACGCTCCCTGCCCCAGGTCTCTGCGGGAACTTCAACCAGAACCAGGCTGACGACTTCCGGACGCTCGGCGGCGTGGTGGAGGGCACGGCCGCGGCCTTCGCCAACACCTGGAAGACCCAGGCCTCCTGCCCCAACGTCAAGAACAGCTTCGAGGACCCCTGCTCCCTCAGCGTGGAGAACGGTACCCCGCCCCTGGGGGGCCCTCATGTCACTGCCCGTCCACACAGGAAGCCTCCTGTCTCACCTGAGGTCTGGGGTGGGTAGGGCTGCGGGGCCCCGATATCTAGGTGTGCGTGTAAGTGGCAGGGTCTGGGGTGAACCCCAAAACCAGTCAGCTTCCGGGAGCTGAGGGGCCCGCCCCGGACGTGAGCAGGAGGCCACACCTGGTGACAGCCAGCCCCTCTTGTCTGTTCTCACAGAGAACTACGCCCAGCACTGGTGTTCCCTGCTGACCAACCCTGCCGGCGCCTTCTCGCCCTGTCACTCTGTCATCAGCCCAGCGCCTTTCCACTCGGTGAGACTCCTGACCAGCTGGGGACCCCCAGGTCCCAGGGTGCAGTGGGTGCTAGAGTGTGACCAGCCCCGCCTAGAGCTGTCCCCCAAGCTTCCCTTTCAGGATTCACTCTGTCAAGGGCCGCGCTCTCTCCAAAGGTTCTAGGGGAAGGTCCTCCCTGCCCCTTCCTGTTTCTGGGGGCTCCAGGCCTTCCTGGGCTTGTGGCTGCATCGCCCCAGTTTCTGCCTCTGTCACATGGCCCCTCCTTTTCCCTGTGTCTATGTGCAAGTCTCCTCTTATCTGGACACCAGTCTAGTCGTATCGGAGCCCACCCTAGTGACCTCATTGTAAGCCAGTCACATCAGCAGAGACCCTACTGGCAGCAGGGTCCCAAGGACAAGCCCTAGGGTTTACCTTTCGGGGGCACAGAACTCAACCCATAACCATTGGCCCATAGGCCACTTGGGGAGAAGCTCAAAGCCCTACAATGCACGTGGAAGGCAGGCCCACCTCTGCCCCTTGGGGAGTGGTGAGCTCCACCCTGCCCAGCACCCCTGCCCTGTCCAGGCCCCCCACGTACAGCACAACCAGTGACATGTCCTGGTCCTGCAAAGACCCCTCTCCGCTGGGCCCCGAGCCTGGCCTGTCCCGTCACTGAGTGTGCAGCATGTCACTCCTGGTGGCCTTACACGAAGGCAGGGGTGCCGGGAAGGATGGACAGGGAGAGGAGGGACTCTGATGGGCTGGGGTCCCTGACGGTCCCGGCCGCCTCGTCCCCAGAACTGCCTGTTCGACACGTGCAACTGTGAGAAGAGCGAGGACTGTCTGTGTGCGGCGCTGTCTTCCTACGTGCGGGCCTGCGCGGCCAAGGGCGTGCTGCTCAGCGGCTGGAGGGACGGCGTCTGCAGTGAGTGTCCGAGCCAGCTCCGGCTTCACCATGATGGTGGGGTGGGGGTGCTGGGGACCCCGGGGGCAGCAACACCACCCACAGCGTTCTCAGAGAGCTTGGCACTTCCTCTTCCGCTGGGACCAAGAGCCTGGTGTTCTTAATGATCCCCAGGATCTAGGGGGGAAACTGAGTCAGGCCCCTTAAAGCCCAGCTCAGACGTAGTGATGCGTGGCTGGACGGGGCCACTTCAACTCTGACCTGAGTGTCACCCCCACCCCAGCCAAGTACATGAGCAGCTGCCCCAAGTCCCAGGAATACGCCTACGTGGTGGATGGCTGCCAGCCCACCTGTCGCGCCCTGAGCCAGGCTGACGTCACCTGTGGTGTCACCTTCGTGCCCGTGGATGGCTGCACCTGCCCCCGTGGCACCTTCCTGGACGACGCTGGTGCCTGCGTGTCTGCAGAGGCCTGTCCCTGCTACTTCCACGGATCCGTGGTGGTCCCCGGGGAGGTGGTGCATGACAACGGCGTGGTGTGGTAAGGCCGCTGGGGCAGGCCCTCCCCGCTGTCACCACCGCCCACCCCCCGCCGGCAGGTGGGGGTGCTGCCTGCCTGTGTCTCCCCAGAGGATTCTGAAACACAGGGGGGCTCCCAGGGCAGGGTAGTCCCCCCACCCTTTAGCTCTTCTGTAAAGAGGGACCCCTCCCTGGGCCCGGGATGGTGTTCTGAGGGTCCAGGGCTCACTCTCAGGCCAGCCCAGGGTCCCCGTCCCGCCCCCAGGGGGCTCTTTCACCAGCGGAGCCGCGTCCTCCACAGCCCCAGCCCCAGCCCCGCTGCCTCCCTGCACCTTTGCATGTGTCCTCAAGCGACTGCGGGATTTGGGGTCTTTGCCATGACCCCGGGATTAGGCGCCATCCTCACCTCATGACCAGGCCTGGGGCCCACGCGCCCACCTAGCCGAGATCAGGGTGGGTCTGTGGGGTAGCGGGCAGCAGACCAGGCCAGTTCTCCGTCTCTCGTAGCTCGTGTGTGAGCGGGAAACTGAGCTGCCTGGGGGCCGTGGCAAAGACGCACGCAGGTACTGTGTCCCCTCCTGCCCAGCCAGGGCGCCCACAGTGGGAGGTGGGAAGGGCTTCTGCTGGCCTGGGCGGGGTCCTGGCCACGTGGCAGGACCTACCAGGGTGCCCTCCCTCCACAGGGTGTGTGGCCCCCATGGTGTACCTGGACTGCAGCAACGCCTCGGCGGGCACGCCCGGGGCCGAGTGCCTCAGGAGCTGCCACACGCTGGACGTGGACTGTGTGAGTTAGCGGGCAGGGCTCAGTGACGTTGCTGCCCTGACAGTGTGCCCGCCCCGCCCTTGGCGACGTGCGATGGGCAGTGTCCCCTTCCTGGGTGTTCCTGGGCCACAGCAGGGGACAAGCTGCTGACTGGCACCCGCATGTCCACAGTTCAGCACTCACTGCGTGTCTGGCTGCGTCTGCCCCCGGGGGCTCGTGTCGGATGGAAATGGGGGCTGCGTGGCCGAGGAGGACTGTCCCTGCCTGCACAACGAGGCCACCTACAGTCCCGGGGACACCATCAGGGTCGACTGTAACACCTGGTGGGTCCAGGGTCCCTCAAAGGCAGAGCTCTGCGGTGGGGGAGGGTGCGGGGGGGGTGGCAGAGAGTGGCAGCTGAGTGACCACACGGACAGTGGCCAAGCAGATCCTGGCCCTGGGGCAGAAGAGGAGAGGATGCCCGGCTCCGCCCCCACCCCTTGGGGAGTGGGACCCCACCGCTGGGTCCCGTTCATTCTCTGGAATGTACCCCAGGGCAGGGGCCAGTCAAAGCTGACACCAGGGCCACAGGTGCCAGGGCTGCAGGAGCTGCCTCATTTGACCCCTGGCGAGCACGGGCGGGGCAGGGGCTAGGTTCCAGTCCTTGTCACGGCCTCCGGAGCCCCCCATGAGCAGGGCACCCCCTCCCTTCCCCTGCAGCACGTGCCGGAACCGCAGGTGGGAGTGCAGCCACCGGCCCTGCCTGGGCACCTGCGTGGCCTACGGGGACGGCCACTTCATCACGTTCGATGGCGAGTGGTACAGCTTCGAGGGGAGCTGCCAGTACACGCTAGCCCAGGTACGCGGCCCCCTTGCCCGCCCCAGGGGTTGGCGGGTTGGGGGCCTGACCCACATTGCACCTCTCCGCACCCCAGGACCACTGCGGGGGCAACAGCACAACCAATGGGACCTTCCGCATTGTCACCGAGAATGTCCCCTGTGGAACCACGGGGGTCACCTGCTCAAAGGCCATCAAGATCTTTCTGGAGGTGAGGCGATATCACGTCCCGCATGACAAGGGCTGGGGTTTCGAGGAGGGGCGGCAACGGGTTAAGAAATCACAAGAGTCAAAAATAGAGTTTCTGCGGGCCAGGGGTCTTGTCTCTGCAGACCGAGAGAGCAGAGTCCTGATACTGGCGGGCGAATAACTTTTATTTACAACTGTCACAAAGAGGTCAATTTGAATATCTATGCTCAGTTAATTGATTTGATTAGACCGGCAGCTGCTTCACTGAAACTCATTGTGATCAAGAATGAGTTGTGCTTTCACACCTGCTATGATCCCGGGATGGCCTCAGCATTCCGAGACCACCCCGGATAAGGATAAGGAAGTTTTACCGAGATCATTCCCTTATGACTTCAAAGGACCAGTGCGCAGGAGCATTGGAGTGGGCAGCTGCAAGGCGACAAACGCTCTCCTCCCTTTGCAGCTGACCGGCCCCACTCTGTCCAATTCCCCAGTGCTCCCCAGCTGTACTGTGTCCTGGGGTGGTTAGAACAAATGGCTACAGCCATTTGGAGGAATTCATCCTCTCGCAGGCCTAGAGGCCAGAAGTCCAAGATCAAGGTGTCTGAGGGTCGAGCTCCCACGTAAGGCTCCAGGGGAGGGTCCTTCCTGCCTCTTCCGGCTTCTGGGGGCTCCAGGCGTCCCTTCCTGGGCTGGTGACCACATCCCTCGTCTCTGCCTCTGTCACCACGTGGCTTCTCCTGTGTGTCCTTTCCCCTTCTCCTCTCTCACAGGGACACGGGTCATTGGGCTCAGGCCCACCCTAAATCCACCCTAAATCCAGGATGATATCGAGGGACCCTTCACTCAATCACATCCGCAAGGGCCCTTTCCCCAATAGGTCACATTCACAGGTTCCGGGGGTTAGGACGTGCGCACGTCTTTTGGGGGGACATCAGCCAGCCACAACACCCAGCGACACCACCCCAGGAAGTGTAGAGGGAAGTCAGAGTTCACAGGGCAGAGAGCAGCGCTGCTGGCCGGAGGGACAAGGAAGGCAGCAGCACTGGGGGTCAGCGGGGGGCAGGCTGAGTGCCCGAGGTCCCCCTCTGCTTGCCCGGGGCCCTGGCTCCCAGCACACTCTGCTCAGCCTCCTGCCTCGAGCGCACTGACAGTGTCAAGAGCTGGCTCATCCTTAAGGCCACAGGGTGGGCTCTGGCCCCAAAGCCGGCCCCTCCCTCAGCTCCCATGCACCCCTCTGCAGGACTATGAGCTGATCCTGCACGACGGTGCCTACAAGGTGGTGCAGAGGGGGCCTGGTGGAGACCTGCCCTACAGGGTCCGGTACATGGGCACCCACCTGGCTGTCGAGACCCGGGGCGGCCTGGTCGTGTCCTGGGACCGGAAGACCAGCGTGTTCATCCGGCTGCGCCAGGATTACAAGGTGAAGGTGGAGAGCTGCAGGACCCTCTCGGCCGGGATGGAGCCCCTGCTCCTACACCTGGCCCTACCGGGACCCTCTGGCAGCCGACGGTCTGCTGAGGGCCGAGGCGCACCATGCACAATGTCGGGTTCCAAAAGGGGTGTGTTGAGACCAAATCAACCAACGGGCGTGTCCAAGTCCTGTTGGAAAGCCGCTCTGTCCCCTGGTCTCTCAGCTCAGGGGTTCCACGCCCCTTAGCTAAGGTTCTATGGGGGGTAGGAGCTGGCATACAGAGCTGCCTGCTCTGTTCACCTGCTCACCTGCCCATCTGCCCACCTGCCCATCTGCTCACCTGCCCATCTGCTCACCTGCCCATCTGCCCACCTGCCCATCTGCCCACCTGCCCATCTGCTCACCTGCCCATCTGCTCACCTGCCCATCTGCCCATCTGCTCACCTGCCCATCTGCCCACCTGCCCANCAGGGCGGGTCCCACATCTCTACCTACGACGAGAAGCTCTACGACGTACACGGGGACTGCAGCTACGTCCTGTCCAAGGTGTGGCCCAGGGCCCCGGACCACATCCCTCCTCTGCCCCTGGAAAGGGTCCCGTGATGGCCACCAGGGTGGGTGAGGCCCCGACAGCCCCCTCCCGGGCCCCATCCTGAGGGGATCCCCCAGCTCACATCCTCAGGGGGCCGAGAGGCTTCTGGGCCCCGAGACAAGCTGCCGGGCACTGACTCCGCCTGCACCCCGCATGGGCGTCCCGGGCACGGGGCACCACACACACACTCAGTCCTCTCTCCTTTTCCTGTCAGAGATGTGCAGACAGCGGCCTCACCGTGCTGGCCGAGCTGCTGAAATGTGGCCTGACGGACAACGAGAACTGCCTCAAAGCGGTGACGCTGAGCATGGCCGCGGACATGGTAAGGGCTCTGCCTCCATGTCACCTGCCGCCCCTGGCCTGGGAGAGGGGGCAGAGACGAGAAAGCTGGAGATGGATGAGGACAGAGACGGGGAGGACACGGGCTCAGCTCCGTCCCTGAACCCCGCGGCCCCAGCGGCAGCCCCTTCCCCCACGGGTGTCCAGAGCCACACCAGGTTCCAAGCCTGTGAGCTCCCGCAGGCTCCTTCCCACACTGACCCAGCCCACCTCCTCCCGCTAGACCATCCGGATCCAGGCCAACGGCGGGGTGTTCGTGAACTCCATCTACACCCAGCTGCCCGTGTCAGCAGGTACGCGGCCCCTGGGGCCACGGGGCCATGTCAGGGTGGTGGTCCGCTCCCAGAGAACCTGCACAGAGCCTCTGTGGCCTCGGGCAGTTCCACAAGGTCCAGGGTTGGTTTATCATGTGCAAAGCGGGGTGTCAATGGTCCTGCCTGTGGCTGTTGTGGGGACCCGCTGTCGGACACGCTCGATGCCTGGCCTCTTACGGTTAGTGGTCACGACCTGTGCAGGCATGAGAGCTCCTACCCAGCTCCTGGGGCCCCGTGGGGTGGCTGGGGTCCCCCAGATGCCTGTCTGAACCCAGCCCGCCTCCCGGGCTTCCCTGGGAGCACTGCTGGTCAGCGTGTCTGGGCCTGACCCCCGTGCAGCCTCTGACCTTGCACCGCCCCACAGCCAACATCACCGTGTTCAGACCCTCGACCTTCTTCATCCTGGTGCAGACGGGCCTGGGGCTGCAGCTGGAGGTGCAGCTGGTACCCATCATGCAGGTGTTTCTCAGGCTGGACCCCACCCACCGCGGCCAGATGTGCGGTGAGGTTCCGCGGGCTCGGAGGGCCGAGGGCCGTGGGGGCAGGGGAGGGGCAGCGTGTGGCAGGAGGTGGGGGCCGTTCTCCCAGGGCACCAGGTGTCTGACCCCCGCCGGGGAGGCGGCCACGTGGCCCTCACTCAGGGGGCTTTGCACAGGCGCTGACCCCCAGCAGAGCTTATCTGCAGATGGTTCTGGAACCAAAATGCGGGCTGGAGGGCCTGCTGACACGCTCCCTGCCCCAGGTCTCTGCGGGAACTTCAACCAGAACCAGGCTGACGACTTCCGGACGCTCGGCGGCGTGGTGGAGGGCACGGCCGCGGCCTTCGCCAACACCTGGAAGACCCAGGCCTCCTGCCCCAACGTCAAGAACAGCTTCGAGGACCCCTGCTCCCTCAGCGTGGAGAACGGTAC